TAATCATCAACAGTTAGAATGCTGCTAGCTTTATGGGTTGTTTCAACTTTTGTGAATGATAAAAAAGTGCAGTTAAATTTAATAAATGAGTTGACTATTTTAGGGCATCAAAAATTTAATAATAATAATTTAATAATTTCAAGAATTCTTCTTGAAAATAAAATAAATTTTTGTTAAGATAAATCGAAACATAACTCGTAATTGTTTCGCATATAGTCACTAAGAAGTTCGAAAATCATTCACCAAATTATATTATACGAGGGCTGCTATATATTTTCTGGCCTAATAATGAGAATAGGAATATTTATCAACGAAAATGGTTTTATTGTTTTTCCCAAATTGTCTCCATCAGGATTTATACACTTTTGCATGCGCTCAAACCAATTTTCGAAGCTCTTTTTCCACTCCGATTGAGACACCTCCAAAACATGGTTTTTGAATGCTTCAACAGCATCTTCTGGCGACGAAAATCGTTGACCACGCATTATTTTCTTGATGTGTGGGAATAAAAAGAAGTCATTGGGTGTCCAGTCAGGGCTGTATGGCGGATGACCCATTAATTCGACGTTTTGGTCGGTCAAAAAGTGCACAATGATTCGTCTTCTCTTTTCCGGTTTCCGAAGACTTTAGGCAAACAAATGGTGGAGTACCACTCAGAATTGACCGTCCTACGTTGCCCAAGTGCAAAAGTCGCCACATGAGCAGTTTTGCCAAAGCAACAGGCAACCATTTGCTTCTAAGTGTTTCTTCCACGAACAACTTTCGTTGGATTTGGCTCGTCTTGGAAGACCCACACGGTCGATTGCTGTTTTGTTTCGAGCTCATATGCATAGATCCATGATTCGTCACCTGTGACAATATTATAAACGGCTTTTGAAGCACCGCGATCGTATTTTTTCAGCATTTCTTTACACCAATCCACACGAGCATTTTTTTGAGCGATTGTCAAATTGTGCGGGATCCAACGAGAACGAACCTTTTTTATGGCCAGGTGTTCATGCAATATCGAATGTATGCTGGTGGGAGAAATGCATAGGCATGCCTCTATCTGAAAGTATGTTACATGACAGTCTTGCATTATCAGTTCACCTACGGCATCGATGTTTTCTGGCACAACGGCTGTTTTTGGACGACCTTCACGGAATTCGTCTTTGAGCGAGCGTCGGCCACGATTGAATTCGTTGTACCAATTTTTCACCGTGCTAAAGGATGGTGCTTCGTAGCCATATAAAGAGTTTAGTTCATCAATGCACTCTTGTCGTTAAAATCCACGTCGAAAGTTGTGAAAAATGACCGCACGAAAATGTTCACGAGTTAATTCCATTTTTTGGCCGAGATGAGTTTTTTAATTCCCTGTAAATAAAGCAATTCACGATTAAATGACAAAACGTTCTGAGTGATGTTATGCTAAAAAATGTCAAAGTTTCCAATGGAAATGTCATATTGCACCTGGCAACACTTAATGTTGCCTAGGCCAGTAATATATATAGCAGCCTCCGTATCCGTAATTTAATATATCAATATGAGATATCTTACATATTGACTGATATATACGTATAAAGTCAAAAAGAATTTTAAAATTTTGTATTACATTTATAAAGGCTAGGGTATCATCTCATTTTTAACGAAGTTGCTCCTATACTTGAGATAAGGTGCGGTAAAAGGCCCTTTTGGACAATACTACGGTCCCATATATTCGCTGGTACTTGATTTATATATCGTGACGAGAAATAGTCTGGTGTAGCTTTAAATGGAATCGCTTAGAAATTAGGCATGGCTCTTAGCTAATTTAGTTAAAATTTCAGTGGTAAAAAGAGATTATCAAGAGCATACTATGTAACAAGATTTAACCACGTTTGTTCGAGAAGTTGTTGAGACTTTTTTCCACTTATAATCTCTACCGTATACCGCATGTAGACAAAATTGGACAAATATCAGGGTTCCTGACTGAGGACTTCGTTATAGACTTTTCTTCACATGTACGCCAATTGGAAACCATGGCAATAGTCCGCTTTTTGTCCATATGAATTATTCTCCTCCTCGAAGTAATAAATATCAAAAACCATGTTTTTTAAGCATGTTATAACAAAAGAATTCAATTTGGATTGAAATCCGAAAAATTCGACGAAAGATAAAATAACAAAAACGAAATTTACTTGTGATCAAAGGTCATAAGGAGCATGCCGAATGGCGTGCTTTAGTTTTTAAGGGTAAAAATGATTTTCGATTTCCGCCAACACTACGAGCCAACCTATAAGCAAAACTTTTGGAAGGCAAAATTCGACCAAAATTTGGGCTGAAATTCAATTTTGAGTAACCAACGAAAATTTGTCTCTTTTTTATTTTTTTTTTCGACCGTATCGTTGTCTTCCATTAGCGAAGTTTTTGTTTAGGTCAAAATGTCATGAGAGGTCTCATTTAGTTCTAAAGAGACTTTTTAGATTTCAGTAAGCCTAATTAACATTTGCATAAATATACTTTTTTTTTTTTTTTTTTTTTTAACTGCAAAATCACTTCCATCAGTCACCCACTTTTGTTGTGCCCCTTAATTGAAATCAAATTATTTCCGCAAAGCAATAACAGCATCCCGGTTTTGTTTTTTTTTTTTATTATTTTTTTTTTGTTTTTGAAAATGATTTAAAATATATGGATTTGCTCATACAAAATATTACTGTCATTTCCTTTAAAAAAGTTTTCAACGCAATAAAGAGGCGATGACACATCATCTAAGCGCACGTTTTCAACCTAATTCACACGCGCTCACCTATAAAGCTACAAACACACATACCCACACGCTGACATAAAAAAACACGTGCGACAACCCTTTGAAGTATCTAAATAACGGTAAGCATTTGTGCGTTATTTGAAGTCACTTAAAAGGCATCACAACTGACACATTTTCAGCGTTAGACACAAAAAGCCAAAAAGTGTTGCGCACAACCGTGTGCAAAAGCAGCAGCAAAAAGTTGCATAGTTAATGCCACAGACATGCAGAACAAAAGGCTTAGTGTAGTACTGGTAAGCGAAATTTTTACTTTCTTACCCCACAAAATATATGAAAGTGTACAACTAGCGGTTTTTAAATGCTGCCTTCTGCAAATTTTTCACTAAAACTTGGGTGCGGCAGTGAGGTTGGCATAAAAATTTCTAAAAAATTTCGCTAACTCACATTATGTTGCAAGAGCAACTGTGAGGGCACAAGGCAAAAAAAAAGAACAAACTTATACAAAAAGGGCTTATAAAGTGAGGACTCATGTGTGTCATCAAAAATTTTGAATTTGAAATTTCTTTAGTCCAATGTTACTCATACGCCGTGTGCGGCACACGAGTGAGGTGGTGCGGCGAATGTAGTTGAATGAGTCGGCTAAAACGATACGCTTGTGCGCGTGTATGGCAAGTCAAGTCATGCATGCATATACATATGCTTATTTACATATGTACATTCATACATAGTATATATATATATTTACATACCAAAACGCTTACTGACGCTTGTGCTTAGCTCTTCAAATATTTTCAAGCATAACTCTTTGTGAAAAAGCAACAGCTTACACATATATACAGCTTGCCGCACCTACACAACCATAGATTTACATATTCGCACACGTATACATATATGCGGTTTATTTGCTTAGCTTTTTATGGTGCTTACCAAAAACGGATTCAACGCCGTTTTACACACTCAGCTTGTTTGCGTAATGTGCGAAAAATTCGCATATAAAAATGTACCGTTATTAAGAGTGAAAGTGTTTGCCGAAAACCATACGAATTTGCTGAAGTTCGCATTTTGGTTATTTTTAGGTTTTAATGTTTTTTGTGCTAATTTTGTGTGTGAATGTTCTTTGTTTATTAAAGAAAACTTAAATTTACTTCAGTTAAATATTTTAAGCATGCACTTAATATTTATAGTCTTGTTTAAAAAAGCAACCAAATAAATAAATAACAAAGAAAAATACAAATATAAAATTATATATATATATAAATATTTTACTAGCCAAAATCTCGTTTAAAGAAATAAATATGAAGTAATACAGAAGAGCATGGAACACTGAAATAAGCTTTACATATTACCTATCAGATAAAGAGTTCTAACATAATCATACCCTGAGCAGGGTATATTAAGTTTGTCACGAAGTTTGTAATACCCAGAAGGAAGGGTCGGAGACCCTATAGAGTTTATATATATGTCCGTCTGTCTGCCCGTCTGTCTGTCTGTATCTACACTAACTAGTCCCTCAGTTTTTAAGATATCGTCCTGAAATTTTGCAAACGTCATTTTCTCTTCAAGAATCTGCTCATTTGTCGGAACGGCCGATATTGCACCACTATAACATATAGCTGCCATATAAACTGAACGATCGGAATAAAGTTCTTGTATGGATAACTTTCACATTTGATGTGGTATCTTCACGAAATTTGGAATGGATTACTGCTTAAGGTGACAATAATCTATAAAAAAATTGTTAATTACTATAGCATATAGCTTTCATATACACTGAATACAAAGTTATTAACAGAAATGCACCTGTAAAGGGTATTTTTTTCCCATGATCTCTTTTCTCTTTCTACAAATTTACACTCCAATCAATCAAACTAATAATACAAAAAGGTTTAAAAATATGCCAGGTGATTACTTTTACCAGACCAGGGCTCTATGCCATTTTACACAGCTTTTGCTAAGTGTGCCGAATCTCCTATATGTAGGTCCATCCTAAAAACCTCTTGTGGCTGGGCATTGAAGCTATCAGAGATCAGATCTTCAAGCAAAACTCTCATCAATGCGGATTAAGCGGTGAATGGGAGCTCGCTATATATTAGTCTGAGATTACGAGGGTCCTATGAATTATTTCAAAAATATAGCTGGTGACTTGATATTGAGCAGAGAGAGGTCGGTTAAATTTCCTCTAGTTGCTCACTCACAACCTTCTCAGATATTCTGGATGCGAAGTTTTAAATTTAATATCGATTATGTAATTCCAGCTTTCTGTTTATATTTACAGTACAATGACTCACTCACTCATGACACTGGACATCTCCGGCAACAAAATGCAGCACATACCGCTGGAGGCATTGCAGAAATTGCATTCGTTAACGCGACTAGTGGCGCAGAGGTGAGTTTCACAAAATTTTGTATTCTATGCCAAAAAAAATGTTGCATTTAATTTTTAGAAGCAAACCTTTTATTTAAAATATTCGCAAAAAATTTTATGATTATATATATAATTAATTTAATTGCGTATAAACCATAAAATCAATTTCTTTTAATTTTTTCCGAAAAAATATCAAAATCTAATTTAAGAATTAGTATCTATAAAAAAAAATATTGCTTGTACTTATCTTTTCGTTTGTTTCCTTTCACAATTTCAACTCCAACTCTGACTATTTTATTGATTTCATTTCACAGTTGTGCCTTTAGTATTTACAATTTTTTATTTGAGATGCCAGTTTTTCATTTGCAATTTAAAAAAATATTTACGCTTTTATTTTAGATTTCATATTTCAAATTTTTAAGTTCCCGAATTTCTACAAATGGCCTAAAATATAAATGTTCCAGAACTCCAAACTTTTATACTCTCGCAACAAAGTTGCTAAGGAGAGTATTATAGTTTTGTTCACACGACGTTTGTTTGTAAGTCCTAAAACTAAAAGAAACAGATATAAGGTTATATATACCAAAGTGATCAGGGTGATGAGTAAAATTGAAGTCCGGATGTCTGTCTGTCCGTCCGTCCGTCCGTGCAAGCTGTAACTTGAGTAAAAATTGAGATATCGTGATGAAACTTGGTACACGTATTTCTTGGCTCCATAAGAAGGTTATGTTGGAAGATGGGCAAAATCGGCTCACTGCCACGCCCACAAAATGGCGAAAACCGAAAACCTGTAAAGTGTCATAACTAAGCCATAAATAAAGGTATTAAAGTGAAAGGATCGCATTTGAGAGGGGAATATTTGGACGTATTTTTTTTTTTTGGAAAAGTGGGCGTGGCCCCGCCCCCTACTATGTTTTTTGTACATATCTCGGAAACTACTATAGCTATGCCAACCAAACTGTACAGGGTCGCTTCCTTCAGACATTTCCATATACAGTTGAAAAGTGGAAGAAATCGGATAATAACCACGCCCACCTCCCATACAAAGGTTATTTTGAAAACCACTAAAAGTGCGTTAATTGACTAACAAAACACGTCAGAAACACTAAATTTGACGTAAGAAATGGCAGAAGGAAGCTGCACCAGGCTTTTTTTTTAAATTGAAAATGGGCGTGGCGTCGCCCACTTATGGACCAAAAACCATATCTCAGGAACTACTCGATCGATTTCAATGAAATTCGGTATATAATACCCTGATGGTGATATAATACCAATGATGAAAGCGGAACAAAACTTTACACAAATACAGTATTTAAGCTGAGGTATCCCTTGTGGGAAAATTTTCGTGATCGGACTATAACTTTTCAAGGTCCCTGATATCGAACACGAAGAACTCAGTGCCTAACCTAACCTAACCTAATTTTTTACCGAAAATATCGGTAAATCAATACAGTTAAAATAAATGAAAATACAATTCAATACTCAAAGTACACAAATTGAGCTAATCTAATTAATTTTACAGCAAATTAAAAAAATATATAAATGACGGATAATGAAATCTCAATTATCATGCGAGAGTATAAAATGTTCGGTGACACCCGAACTTAGCCCTTCCTTACTTGTTTTATTTCATTTAGTATCACGAAGCACAAAGTTATTATCTTGAATTTCTGTTCTGAATGTTGGTTCTCAGAGTCTTACGACTGAACTTACCATTTATGCATTTAAGTGTTTTACCATAAGCTAGGGCATGAAAAAAATAGAACAACAAGTCCAGAAGTGATATAGATAAGTGCTTTCAAATTACAAAACCGTCATACACATGACAAAAGTATTGATTACTTGAAAATACTGGTGCTTTATTCTTTTAATAGATTCCCTTCCCAAAAATCGGAAAATGAAACTTTCGTGTCCATACTCTTACGCCTTTGAATCAGCTTATCAGTTTTTAACACATAAGACAGTTCTTTTCTTCCTTAACTAATAAAGTTTATTACTGAGTCTCTGCACCTATACGAACTCAAGCCGGATCAACTTCTGTTCAGAGAAACCTGTGAAGACGGAAGAGTTTTCCAATCCAAACTGTAATATTTAAATATATCCTAATATTTCATGTCAAAGTACCGCTGATTCGCAGTGTTTAGATTAGGATTAGTTAGGGCCTTCACAGAACTTTAAATACTACCTCGACGAGCTCGAGCTTCAAAAATCTTATAAATGAAAGTTTGAGTTTATATATCGTAAAGATTTATCTTTCTTTGGGTTTCATCAGAATGTGATTATTTTAACATATTTTTGGTTGTTACTGCTCTGTTATGTATTTTTAGTGATTCCGATCCAAAATGGCTTTACATTTCAGTCAGATTTATCTTAGCACATTATGTTTTTGAGTATATGTATAACTTTAAATCAATATTTTTTAATATTTACAAAATTTAAAAAACAAGGAATCACATAACAACATTGGAGGGCAACTGGGAGGCGCTCTTCGACACGCTACGCTCGTTACATCTCTCCGGCAATGACATCACAGAGGTATCACCGTTTGGCCTGCATGAAAACGGCAACGGCTTGAACGGCGGCAACAGCGGCGCCAGCAGTCATCCTTCCAGTTTGGCGGCCATCACGCGCCATGATGAGCAAGCCACGACGAAAAGTGCACACAACAGTGCGCGAAATACGCCGAATGAACTCGGCAGCATAGGGGGCCACACGTCGAGCACTAGTAACCACATTGCGCCCAGTAAACCCTTCAGTCGGCTGCAGAAGTTGCTCTGGCTGGACCTGTCGAATAATCGCATCTACCACATAGCGCCCAACTTCCTGCCACGCTCACTGGTCACCATCGATCTCTCGAGCAATCTGCTCACCGTATTTCCACAACAACTCTTCGAGCATCTACACGGCCTGCGCATTGTGTCGCTACGTGACAATCTGTTGCGTAGCGTGCAGACGAAAGAGCTGCGTCTGGTGCGCATGCGTTTGGAAAAGCTCGATTTGGGTATGAATTTGGTGGAGACGCTGGAATCGGATTGGTTTCAGAACAACTACTCGGATGTGCATGTGCGCGCCTTGAATCTGGAGAAGAACTTCATACGGCAGCTGCCACCGGCGGTGTTCAAGGGCACTGGTATAGTGCACCTCGTGTTGGCATTCAACGCCATCGAGCGCATACACGTGACCGCCTTTGAGGGCATCACCGAGACGCTGGAGTACTTGGATCTGGAACGCAATGAGCTCAATGCTGTGCCAGGCGCGATCAGCACATTGCATAAACTGAAGTATCTATACCTCGCTTCGAATAATATCTGTCAGTTAACTAATCTGCCGGAGAATACCGAGAATCTGCGCGTGCTTAGCTTGAGCGGTAACAATTTCACGATGATACCGGTGCTGGCATTGCGCAACTACACACAGCTCTCATACCTCAATATGGGCTATAACCTAGTTTCGGACATACCGGAGGGCATTTTCGCCGTAGACAATTGGGGCGCCAATCTGCAGACGATACTGCTGCGCAATAATAAAATCACGCACTTGCATTTGGGCTCTTTCTATGGTTTGGAGCAAATTCAGGAGATCAGTTTGAGCTTCAACGATATTAATATACACCATCCTTTGGTGTTTGAGAATGTGTCACGCACTTTGAAGATACTCGAACTCTCCTTTGCGGTCTTCCCAGCGCGCAGCATGGAGTCCATCGATCCGCTTGAAGCGCTGCTGCCGCTCTCGCAGCTGATGTGGCTTGGTTTGGACAATAATAACCTAAAGACGCTGTCAAATGAATCCTTTGCCTATATGCGTGAATTGAGCTACATCAATTTGGCATTCAATCAGCTGAAACAGTTGCCGCGTGGACTCTTCCTACCCGACGTGCATAGTCACCTAGTGGAGATTGATCTCTCGTACAATGCTTTAGATGTTATCACACGCAATACCTTCCACAGTCTGGGCGATCTGCAGACGTTGAATTTGCAGTCGAACAAGCTGAAACTGCTAGAGAAGCATGCGTTCCACAACTTGGAGTTTCTGCGTTACATCGATTTGTCCTACAATCAGTTGGCGAATATCTCGCACGGCGCATTCACGGTGCTGCCCAACCTTGCTGCCTTGGATTTGATGCATAATAACCTTTGTACGCTCTCGCTAAAAATGTTCCATTTCGTCTCGAATACCAGCACGCCGCTGCGTCTCAATGTCACCTACAATCAGATTGCGCACTTTGAGGATGAACTCAGCTCGTACATGTATATCTATAACCTGGATATTAGCCACAATGTGATCAGCAAAACCGAGAGCTTTGCGAACCTGGCGAATACGCTGCGCTTCCTCAATCTCGCACACAATACAATCGGCAGTTTGGCCAATCACGCCTTCGGCGATCTGGAATTCCTTGAGATACTCGATCTCTCTTACAACAATGTCACGACTTTGCGTCGACGCAGTTTTCAGGGCTTAAATAGTCTGCAAGAGCTGGATCTCGGCTACAATGGACTCGAACAGTTACAAGTCGAGCAATTCTCGAACTTACGCAAGCTGCGTATACTACGCGTACGTGGCAATCGTTTGCGTGCGCTGCCACGTGAAGTCTTCATGAACACGCGACTCGAGTATTTGGATATTTCAGATAATCAGTTATCCGTGTGGCCAGTGCCGGCCTTCTCGGATGTCGGCTTTACGCTGCGCAGCATACAAATGGCGCAGAATATGCTTGAGTACTTAGACTCCAGCATGTTTGTGAACTCGCAATTCCTCTACGATATCAATCTGGCTTGCAATCGCATTACCGTGTTGCCGGATAGCACTTTTACCTTCCTAAATAATCTCACCAATTTAGAGCTCTCACAAAATCCACTGGTAACCACCAACCTCAAAGAGGTGTTTCTGCATACGCCACGTTTGCGTCGTCTGAAAATACGCCGTATGGGTCTCTATGTGCTGCCACAACTCAGTCTGCCATATCTGTCATATCTCGATGTCAGCGGCAATTATCTGCAAGAGCTCACCTCACTACATGAGATGCGTCAGTTGCGTCACGTGAATGTCTCACATAATAAAATCGTTAATGCCAGCAGCGTTGCCGAACATCTACCGACATCGGTGCGTGTGCTCGATCTGGCGCACAACCCATTACGGCGCATCACCGCGCACGACCTCGTCGCCTTGCGTCACCTCACCGATCTCAATCTGCTCGACGTGAAGGTGGTGAATCCGACAGTGTTCAGTAAACTGCGCTCACTGCGCAAACTGCATTTGACGTCACATCAGAATTTGGGTGAGCTCGTGGCGCGCATACCGGGCCTACAGGAATTACGCGTACACTGCGTGGAAACGAATATTGGTTCGCAGCTCTTCGCGAAGCTGCTGAACAATACCAAATTACAGCTGCTCGAGCTGTACGGCGGCAATGTGCAGACAATAGCGCCAGATGCGCTCGAGGGCTTGGCACACAACCAACATTTGTTGGTGAAAATCTCACATACTAAAATTTCCGATTTGCCGCCAGGCATTTTTTATACGCTACGCGCTGTGCCACAGCTGTCCATCGATATATCCAATAACAAAATCAATGCGCTAGCGGCGGACAGCTTCTATCCGAACAAGACCTATTGGGATACCGTGGGCACGCGCAGCATCATCGGCGGCTTGGACACGTCGAACAATCCGCTCGAATGTGAGTGTGGCTTGGTGTGGTTCGGCCATTGGCTGCGGCGTTGGCTGCGCGAGTCGGCGCAAATTAAAGTGATACAGAAGGACGAGATGAAACGCATGGTGCAGGTGAGTGAGCACTCTGGCTAACAGTCAATTATTTCCTTATCTGATATTACGTATTGTATGTATTTTCTAATTTGCCAAATTCTTTTTATGTTTCGTTACCATGCACGAAGTTACCGCTACCCGCACACGTTTTGCGCGTAAGCCTTTTTTATTTCTCTTACAAACTCTTTTCACACACACACTCTCTACACATTTCTCGAAAATGATATGCTTATATATTTTTCTCTTTCTTCTCTACTCTCAACGCATGCAGCGTGCGCGCTCGAACATGTGTCACGATCCCACCACGGGTCGTCGTCTGCCCATACTGGAGATATTTCCCGAAGATCTGCTGTGCCAAGCGAGCGCACTCAGCAGCTCGAGTGAACGTCTCTTTCTGCTCTCATTTGCGGCGATTGTCTTGCCGCTCTTCACAATGTCACTTTGATAATTGGACGCCTAGAGTTGCTAATGTATATAAAGTGCTAAATTAAGAGTTGCCATATAAAACTAAATATATTATATAATAATAAACTTTAAACTGGAATGGTTCTTGCTTTAACTGTTGAAAGTGTATGGAGTTTGGAAACTAAAATATTGTTAGCTTGAGAGATATGTAAATTGCTGTAAATTTACTGCGGTAAAGTGTTAATTATATTACGTAAGCAATGTAAATTTGATAGTTGTAAGTAAGATAGCGTTAGACGATGTGTGCAATAAATTTTAAGTTAAAGACTATTCGGAAATTATTTTTCATGCATATATAATTTTGTGTTTGGAAGTAGAAGGATATGCGATACATGCAAATACGTGCTGACAAGGCAAAAGAGCTTACGTAGTGTTTGAAGAAAATATTTTATGAATTTTTTACATTTATAATTTTAGCTATCTACAAAACGATCCCAGCTGCTCATGCCGCAGTTAATTTCAGGACGTCAAGCATATAATAAACTTTCTTAATATAGAAATCTCTAGTAAGATTCACTTTCAAAATTTATTCAGCTCTACGTAAAATTGTTTGTCTTGTCAGTACCAGCACTTGGTTAAAATTATATGAATTCGTTTATAAAAAATACACACATTACATAACACTGCAGGTGGCAACTGTTATTCCTGTTGATTCCTAAACTAGTAACTTTTTACTAACAACTAATTAATAGTATAATAGAAATATAAATATAGCAACTTACAGAACTGGTTAAAATGACATGGTTAAAAACTTATTTGTTTAGTTATGAGATTTTCGAGCGGGTCGGTAGATGATGAGCGCATAGTGAAGAGTAAAAGGCAGATTCAGCTTAGATTAGTAATGACTAATATTTCGTTTACACGCACAGTGTGAGTAATAAGGTACAGCATAAGAGAGTAATATTTCATTTACGCTCAGAGTGTGAGCAGCAAGGTACAGTATAAGACAGTGGTCAGCCACAGCTTGTTTTTTTAATATGCAGGAAGGTCAATGGGACCATTAACATTTATTGGACTAACCTGACACAGTACGGTATGCTGCTGCAACCCTGCTGCTGCACTCTACCAAATACCTTACACCATTTTTCCTTTTTTAGCATATCCACTCAAATCTCTACACCAAACAGTGAGACGCTGGTGCTTATTGACATTAAGCGCTTGTTCTTTTCTTCTGTAGACCCTTCTATGATGGCCATTAGTTTGCTAAGATAGTAGGTGATTTTCGCTGGCTTTCCTGTGGCTTGTTGGATTTATACCCAAAAGGTTAATTTGGGGTCCAATCTTACGTTGACATCTTTTTGTGTCTACCCGTAGTCATTTAGATGCTTATTAGGAGAGGAGTGTGCTTATTCATCAGCAGTAAAGGCTCCGTTTTTTCTGTAACGAGCTCAAGATTAGTTGAGTCAAGCCATGTCTGCGTCCGAATCTTGACCTGATTCAATTTTTTTCATGCTTCCTTTGTATCTCGGACTGTGATTACTGCTTCTATGTTGCCGCGTATCCGATTACATATGATTCGTCTGACATTTCAAATTTTAGCACTTCATCATAGCTAATGTTCCACAGATATGGACCTAAAATGGACCCTTCTTAGCTCCTGCTGATTTCTATTTGTCGTGATCCCTCTCTAGTCAGGTACAGCAGTCCCTGTTTCTGTTCCTTATTACTTCCAAAGACGCCAACATAACTATTCGCTTGTATTTGGAGTTTCGGATAGCGTCGAGAGTTGATCTTCCGTGTCTAAAACCGTGCTGTATAGGGAATATTTCGCCAGCTTCATTGATAGCCGCTTCCAGTATAGGTTTAAGTCCTCTTTTATAGAGCTTCCCGCCGTGTTGAACTCGCATTGTGAGTGGTATTTTGATGACAAGCTAGGATTTCCCTTGCTGATTAGGACATCTCTTTATTTTTTCCAAATTTCAGGAAATATTGCAAATTCGAGGCAGGCGTTGTATAACTACGAGTTTGTTTATATTTTATTCCAAGTTTCCTGGTATTTTTGTTAACCTCTTCGCGTTGTTGCTCCACTTTTTCTTTTTGCTTGTCTCGATAGCATGCTTAAGCTTCTTTTGCGCCGCTTGATATTACTTGGCATCTTCGGGTGCTACTCCTTTGCGTCTAAATTTCGTGTATGATCTTCGAAAAAGAAGACATTTGCGTCTAAGCTGAGCAATATGTTCAGAAAATAAAATACACATATTTGTTTAAAATCGAAGATTTTTTTTATAACTTAAGTCTGGTTTGTTTCTTCAATGAAAATTTAAAGTCGGTAGTAAGGCATACTCTTTCTCTTTCACTTATTCTCAATATTAGCTTTTTAATGCTTATGAGTGGACAAACAACTAGCATGTTGATTCATGCAGATATGTATAGAGATATTTAGCTAGCAAGTGAGAAAAGCTGAGAGCGAGAGAGTAGAAAAATAAAGATCAAGAGAGAAAGAAATGTATGGGAACGAATTGATCTCCGATATCATCTTGAGATCTAGCATGGAATCTGGTTGGTTGATCTACTGAATTACATGCTTTTAGCAAAGTTAAGTTTGTCGCAATCGTAGGAGTTCTAGAGTCTACTAGACATTGTCCTCTCGACTCTTATGCTGTAAGGCTTATACATCAGCCGGACGAAAACTGTCCAAAGTTATGTGACTGATGGTGAGGTGGAAACTTCCAGGCATTTTCTTGTTCTTTCTCTTTCTATTGTTCAGTTTTCCCTAGACTAAGGATCGGCTCACAGCGCTTCGCCGATTATTGAGTGTATTTAATAACATTTTTTTGGAGTTCTAGGTACCATAAAGGACTGGCTATACGTTTTCCAAGTGAGATTGCTTTTGGGATTAGCATTTCTACTTAACTTAATCTAAAGAAAAATAGAGCATAGGTTTTAATTTTTACTCTACTGTGCGCTCAAAAATTATTTCGAAAGCGCTCTCCGCTCTTAAAGTTATCACTAACATGTTGCTCCTATGCGAAAATCTACACTGAGAGAAAAATTATTTTATCATTTATTACTTTAGGGATACTTGCAAGATACAGCGAGCTAATGAATTGTTGAGACAAGTGAACGCTAAATTATATGCAATTAAATAAAAATATATTTAAAAGGCTACAGAAGCAATAGGAAACCACACGACTTTTAACAAACAAACCAAACTCACACTTTAATAATAGCGCTAAAACAGACATAAAAAAATATAAATAATTAGAAATATGTATAAAAATGTTTTAAGTTGGTAATAAGAAATAATTAGCAATAAAAGTGAGGGGAAAAAGAAAACAGAACTAAAAATAAATACGCAATTTTATTATAATGAAAAAAAAAATATTAAAATATATGCACAGTGCATTGATAAATTAATAAAGACATTGAGTATAATATGTACTTATAGTATATATATATTTGGTATATAATATATATGTGTTTAATATAAAACAAACACACACTGAATTATGTAAATCTGTATATAAACACATAAGTAATGACAATTACACCCTCACTTCCACACCACACACATACTCACCAGTTACACTGAAAACTTTAAGAATTAAGCTGACCAAAACGTAAGCCTAAATGAGCAGTTAGCCCTAGTTTAGCTGTAGTTTAGCGCAATAAAATATTTAATACTGAGACTTTTTAGCAAAATGAAATGGTAAGCATTAAGAAAATATATAAGCACCAGTGCAATTGACTAAAATACGTGAATTTAATACATAATTATTATAAATTCATTTAGTGCATTGAAATCATTTATTAAATAATTAATTTTAGAAAACAAAGAAAAAATAGATATTTTTAGAAAAACAAAACTAAATATAATTGTATGCTAAAAATTTATATTGAGACACTTTTTTACTA